GGAACCCCGCGGTTCCCCGAGCGTGACCAAGAGCGATCCCTGAGCACAGAGCCAGGAGCACCGCTGGGTGTGGCCCCAAAGCAAATAAGTGACATTAGAGAGGAAGAGGCGGGAACTCCCGGAGGTCCGTGAAGTCCTCAAGCGTTCTCCTGACCCCAGCAGTGCCTGATCAGTCTCAGCGATTGTGTGATTCCTGGAGAAAAACCAATCCTGGACAGCTCCGCCAGCTTCCTGAGACTGCCTGGCACGATGTGCTCAGCTGGCCTGGTCGTCCACCAAGGATGTCCCCGAGGCAGTGCCACAGCCCGCCTGCCTTCAGGCACTTCAGCCTCCACTGTGAGGTGCAAATCCAGAATCTAAACACGAGTGCCGAGGCGGGTCTGCCCTGAAGCCTTGTTGAAGAGCGGCGCGGTGAGCTGTGGACACGGAACAGACACGGGAACAGAAAAGTCAATGTGTCACTGTTGATTTGTTTTAGCGACGTTCAGGCAAGCGTCTGCTCGGCATCTGTGAGAAGATTTTGTACGAAAGCGCGAGGAGAGCACTCGGTCGGTCACCGAGTTTCCCGTGGAGGGCAGAAAGGAAGGGAGGAGAAGGTAACGGGCTGCAGAAGTGCCACCAAGCCCAGCCGTGTGGTTCCCTCAGTGACAGATGAGCCCGGCATTTTCTAGAGCCAAATCTTCCCATTGCTTTCCGGGGAAACAACTTTAAACCGAGAATCTTGACAAAGGAGGGTGGGCCAGAGGTGCCGTGACCTTAGGGGACCAGGTGGCCGCCCAGGAATGTGGGATCATCATTGGAGATGAGGAATCTCCTCACGGGGGCGGGGGGAGGATTCCAGCAATTCCTTGGAACTTCGATTCAGTTACTTCCACGTTCTTAGGCAGGGCAGGGGCCAGGAGCCCCCGTGGGAGCGTGTGTTTGGTGTGATGAAGGGACCCGCGGGTGCACGGAGCGCCCTGGACATTACCTGGACTCTGAGGATTTCCTTCCAGAGAGCCTGGTGGCCCCAGCAGGGTGGGCGCTCTGACCCGGTCAACCCCAGGCCAAGGAAGCATCATCCAATGCCACGAGCCTCCCTCTCTGGGTCCCGCCACGGGGACGCCCAACATCTGCACAGTGAGACCACACAAGAGTGAGCACAAGGCCTGGGGAACCTCCGGGTGGAGGCCCCACGCTGGATCCCCAGAACCACACGTTGCCCTGAGGACACTGGGGCGCCCCTGGAAGCAGAGGATACCGCAATGGGGGTGGGGGGTCCCAGCACCAGGACTTCAGCCCGTCAAAGCCAGGAGCTTGGGCAGACACTCTCTCCAGAAATCTAAATCTTTTCAAATATCTAGTCCAAGGTTGACGGTCAGCACGGTGCTGACCCAGCCACAGGGAGCTCGCAGACCCAGGCCCTTTCTGGGCTGCCCTGAAACCAGCGTTCTGGTGGCCGGGGTGTGTTCTGGGGGTGGCACCGCGCTGGGGACAGCTCGGAGCCCGGGGGAGCAGAGGGCCGAGCATGGTGCTGGCATCCAGCCGCCCCGAGGGCTGCTGCAGAATCCGAAGGAACGGCCTGTACTTTTCCATGCAACGGACGGAACCTTCTTTAACCAAATGTGCTTTTTTAAGAAGCGAAATCAAAATGTGTTTCCAGAAAGGTGTTGGGCACCTTGAGAAATATTTTAAAGTTTTCCTAAGACTCCCAAATGCTTTGCTCATTTCCAGAAAATAGAATTTTCTAAAAAAAAAAAAGAAGTTTGATTTTATGAAGATATATATTTAAAAATAAAATCCAGGACCTGAGAGAAAGATAGAGTTAGTACAGCAAGGAGCGGGTGGTTGTCTTGCATGCGGCTGGCCGGGCGCCGTCCCCAGCTCTGGGTGGAACCCCTGAGTCCTGCCAGCCGTGATCCCTGAGCACAAAGTGTGGCCACAAAACCAAAAAGGAGAATCTAGTGGACAGGTCACTTGAAAAGCATGTGACATCCTGTGCTCCTCGCTCCCCTCTGAGTGACAGTGCTGACGCAGGAACCGCACAGTCCGTGAAGCAGGGAGGTCGTTCCAAAGAGAGGTCTCCCTGTGGCCATGGAACCGCCCTTGTGTAGACGACAGGGGCCGTGGCACTGCCCGTGAATAGACCGTAGGGGCCTGAGGCAGACCAGGGTCTGCACGGGCGCGCCCGCTGTTGAGGGCTGGCAGCATGCAGGAGCAGATCGTGCTGACCCTCACTGGCGTGACCTCAGTCCCCGCTAATGTGACTCGCCCTGGCACCACCCTGGGCTGGGTGTTGGGAGAATACCAGTTCCCAGCGCCAGGGCCCTGGGCAGAAGAGGCCCAGAGAGCGTGTTCCCTGGGTGCTGGGTGTGAAGGAACTCCAGAATCTTCCATCTAGACAGGTGCTAAGTTTAGAACCCAAAGTCTTTCCAGAATCCGTTTTTGAAAAGTTGGTAAGTAAAAGCAGGGAGAGCCTAGAGCTAGCAGAGTGGGGTGGGCACTCGCCTCACAGGTGGCTGACGCAGGTCCCGTCCCTGGCACCGCGTGTTCTCCCCGAGCACAGAGCCAGGAGTGAGCCCCCAGCCCTGCCGGGTACGGCCCCGAAACCAAAATAATAATAATGAATCGACAAAAAGGAAATGTCTTAAAAGTGGGTGAGCACTTTTCCTTCGTGATCTGGGCTTGGGGGAGGAGTGTTTGGGTTCGCAAGGGGAGCCTGACCTCGTGCAGAGACGGGCGGCAGCATCCTCTGAGCACCGGCTCCTGGGACTGGCTTGACTCTGCCGAGGAGGAAACCCAAGGGCCCAGGACTGGCTCACGGGGAGTCATCACAGCGACCGTGGCATGGGGGGCGTCTGGACGTGGCGCCTTGTGGCCCCCAGAGGCCGTGGCAGCCCTCGGCCTCTTCTCGCTCCTTCTTCCTCCTGGCTCTCAGCCTCACGGCCACCCTCGGCAAGCGAGTTGCTGAGGACTCTGGTCCTGGTGGACAGGGGCCTCTGAGGACAACGTCCAGGGCTCATTGTGTCGTGCGGGCTGGTGACGGCGGGCGTCTCTCAGGGTCAGCGCTGAGACCACAAGGCCGTGGGGGTCCCACCCACGCTGTCTGTCTGTCTGTCTGTCTGTGGGCCTGTCGGGGTGGGGGCAGGGGCGCGTGCCGCCACCAAGGGGCTCCCACATCTCTGCCGTCTCATCTCATGCACACGGTGGGGCAGGGCCGGCTCGGCCGTGCAGGGTGGAGAGTGAGAGGGACATCTCCGAGGGAGCCTGACAGGGGCCTGCCCGTCGTGTCCAGGCACAGGGACCCTCATGTTGGCCTGTGGGTCCCACGCTCGGGTCCAGGGGACGGAGCCTGGTCTGGGGGGCGACACCCCCTTCCTCCTTACAGCAGGGCAGCAGCTGGTATCATGGGATGGGCAAGGGCCACTGCAGAGGAACCCAAGCAAAGAGAGAGGGAGGTTGGCCGGATCTTAGAGGACCCACGTACCTCGCCCATGGCACCAAATTTGGGCTGGAAATGGAAGTGACCGTTGCTTCTAGAAAAAAAGAATTGCCTTTTGGACTTCTGTGGAAGAAACGCGCACTATGGCATCACCTATGTCTCAAGCCCGTGTCTTTGTAGGCCAACATGCATGACAGAGCCAGAAATACACAGGTCCCATCACTCGTATTCCTCCCTGCCCCAGACCCCTGACGCTTCTCTCTGTGGAATGTCGCTCAGACATTTTATGATTTTTCGCATATTGGGGACAGGCTTTTTACGCTAAGTAAACAGGTGAATTCCAGAACACGGCCTAGAAGCAAGACAGGAAATTGTCGCTGCGTCCACCGGCTGAGTTTTGTCCTTTTGTGGGCTGTGGCTCTGCCTGGTGACAGTTCTGTCACCACTCTCGGCTGCCCCTTGAGCCCCTGGTCTCAGCCTCGGGGTTGGGGGCTGAGAGGGACAAGGCCGGGCCTCCAGCTCCTCGCCAGGGCCGTCTCAGAGGGTGACCCTCCCCCCGGCCGGTCTCCCGTGAGGAGCAGAGGGACTTGCTGGCCTCAGCCTGCTGGCCCCGGGACAGGGGCGACCTCTGCTGGCTTCCTTCACCCACGGTCATGCCGGGGACCAGGACGAGGGGAGGGAAAGGCACTGGGGGCGTCTCCTTCCGAGAACCTGGGAGATTCTGCTGAAACTCGGCCGTGCGCACCCCTGTGAGCCCGCATGTCTGTATCAAGGCATCGTTGCGGAAACTTGAGTCAGAAACGTTCTTGCCTGGCGTAAGGAGACAGACCCACACGGACACACGCAGCTCAAGGACAGCGTTAGGGGCCCTGCGGAGGCCGCAGTACGCGAAGTGATCAAGGCCTTGCTAGCGAGAAGGTCACACATTAGGGCTGTTTTCCGAGCTGCTGGGGCTTCCGGGGAGTTGAGATTTGCATGATATTAGCACTTGCCCTGCCAGCCTGTCACTCAACCTCCCTGCCCTCGGGTGGCGAGAGGCTCCGGGGAGTCTCAAGACGCAGCCTGGGTGCCTCGGTGGTGGGTCACAGTCCCCGTGCCCCCCACCCAGGCAGCGCTTCCATCCTTGGAAACAGACGGAGCCCAGCCAGCTCCCCCGTGAGCCTGGGACTGTGGGGCCAACGGAGTGACCTGTCGCGCCTATTTTATCTGGCGGCCTCTTGCCGCACGCATCTCCTTCATGAGGGGCACAGTGGCCAGAGGGTGCTGGAAGCCGAGGGCAGTGCCTTTCTGCCCCTCGAGGGCGCCCTGGGGCTCCTGGCTCGCCCGCCGCAGGCTGCAGGAGCACAGCAGACGGTGCAGGGAGCACGGGCTGACCATCTGGCCCGCCCTGCCCGGGACACCCTCTGGGGCAGGACTCCGGGCGGCCGTCTTCGGGAGCCGAGCCACACGTGGGGCGCGGGGCCCCGACGGCCGCTGCCCCCGCTGCTCCCCTCCCCGCCAGCCCTGTCCTTCCCTTTGCTCCCTTCTCCCTGCTTTGCTCTGGCCCTTGTCCGTCACTTTCTGTTCTTCTCTATTGCAGCAAAACAATATCAGTCAAGGTAATTGATGATGAGGAGTATGAGAAAAACAAGACCTTCTTCCTTGAGATCGGAGAGCCCCGCCTGGTGGAGATGAGCGAGAAGAAAGGTGGGGGGGCTGGTCGGGGCCGCAGCCCCCAGCTTCTGCCGGCCGTGCTCCGGATGCCTGTCCATGAGAGCGTGACTCACCGCACACATCCCTCCCGCCACGTCACGGGGCCTGGAGCTCACGGGGCCGCAGGGCGGCGGCGGGACGGGCGGTGGGCGCCGCGGAAGTCAGCTCCCCGGCTGCGCGCCCAAATTCGGGGTTCTCCTGCCCGCCCGTGGCGCGGGAGGCATTGGGGAAGGGCGCGGCAGGGCCGGCCCGAGCTCCAGGCGCCCGTCTCTTGGCGAGGAGCCCATGTGCTGCGTCTCCTCCGTAACCTCCCAGTAACCTGGCCTGGCCACCCCAGCATGAGCGTGTGACGCCAACCATCTGTTCTGCGTTTGTCTTGTGTTCCCACAGGAAGATCATTACCATTAGAATATTTGACCGTGAGGAATATGAGAAAGAGTGCAGTTTCTCTCTTGTGCTGGAAGAGCCCCAGTGGATAAGAAGCGGCACGAAAGGTGTGGGCGTAGCCAGAGCCGCCAGTGAGAGACTGTGCTCTTCCCCTGTGTCCTACTCTCACACTAACGCTCTCCTTCCTCCGCTGCCAGCACTGGCCCCCTGGCCCTCCGAGCTTCCGCACTGTCCTTGCCCTCCCCGGGTCCCCCGGAGCACCGAGCAATGCCGTGTCCTCGCACAGCCAGGCAGAGAAGGCCTCCCGCGGGCCTCCCTAGTGCAGGAGTGAGGCTCTGACGCAGGGGGTCCGGGCCTCGTGCTGAAAGTGGAGTCCAGCCGCCGCCCCTCCCTCGGGGTGGCAGGGAGACCAGTGGCTATTTTAGGAGCAGTGGGCAGGGCTGATGGCGGTCAAAGGGCACGTCGGGACAAGCAGCTTCTTGAGGGAGCCCCGCTTACAGGCAAATGAGAACAAGGATCCTTAAAGAACGCTGCTCTCAATGTTCTGGCGTTTCCAAAGGCACAATATCGTCACGCCAAGGGTGACGATCAGAGGGACCACCGGGAGAGATAGTACCGCAGTCAGGGGGCCTGCTTGGCATGCAGTCGACCCGGGTTCAGTCGCAGCATACCGTGTCATCGGGAGCACTGTCAGGTTAGATCCTGAGTGCAGAGCCAGGAATCACCTGAGGATCGCCTCACGTGGCCCAAAAACAGTAACAGAAAGGACCCTCCGTGGGCCTGAGAGACAGGACAGGGCGAGGCACTTACCTGGCCTGTGGCTACTTCAGTCCATCCCCTGGCCCTGCCCATGTCCCCACGTACTACCGCCCATAAGCACAGAACCAAGCCCCGAGCGTAGCTGGGTATGACCCAAAAAAAACTCACAAAGCCAAGGCTCTCTCTACATGAGGCGCTGACCCATCTGGTCTCGCCACTGGGAATGTGGTCACTCAGGAGCGACTTAGTGGGTTCAGCCTTGATCTCCTACACGCATCTATACCACCCGGACACGTTTCTAACACACGTGTTAAAAAGGCATGAGCAGCAGTGCCATCGCACGATGCCGGGTGTGTCTGAGCTTTTCTGGGCTCTGGGCTCAGACACACAGGAGGAGGCCACCACTTACTAAGGACACGGGACTTTAACGTCCACTTGGCAGAGAGTTTTCTCCTCTGAGCCACTCGGGCCTCCTGTCCTGATCCCGTTTGTGCCGTCACGTGGGTGGCGACAGCACGTCTCTTAACTTTACTCATTGCAGAGATGTCGTTGATGAGGGCAGTTAAGAGATGACTGGAGGGTTGGGTAAACTAAGCACAGGGAAGGAGTCCAACACTGGTGGCTTTTCCTGGGGACCTGCCCCAGGAGGGACTGCCAGCACACTGGGGAACTTCTTCGGGAAAGAGTGAGCTTCCCCGAGAGGCTCGCGGAGGTAGCAGGAGACACGGGAGAGACAGGAATGGAACCCGGAGCCCTCTGAATGGCACTATACCCCCTCAGCAGCGGGGAGGAGAGAAAGACCCCTTAGGAAAGTGTGCTGTTCATAAAGCCTCAGGAGCAGCTGGGAAAAGTGCTTCCTTGGGGACAGAGTCCCATAAGGAGCTGTCCTTCAGCTCCCTATCCAGCAAGCACTATTCAGTAATTGTTTCAGTGAAGTATGTAAAATTGCACCTGCAGTTCCTTGATAGCACGATCTGATTTCATACCTGGAAATCAAATTCTTGATTTCAAATTCTTGTCACGAGAAAGAAAATGACAGACTGACTTCAGAGGTACCTCTCGGAGCCAGCACCATTTGAGATAAAACTAGTCTAAAAATACCCTCCTGGGGCTGGAGCGATAGCACAGCGGGTAGGGCGTTTGCCTTGCACACGGCCAACCCAGGTTCGATTCCCAGCATCCCATAGGGTCCCCCCGAGTACCGCCAGGGGTGATTCCTGAGTGCAGAGCCAGGAGGAACCCCTGGGCATCGCCGGGTGTGACCCAAAAAGCAAAATAAATTGTTTTAAAAAAAAAAATACCCTCGTAACATTCCCAGCAAACGTTCTCCAGTTTTCCTTTGACACATCGACTTGTTGACCCGTTGACCCAGTAGCCCTTACCAAAGTGAAGTGCCGAGGCTGAAGGGGGCCTGAGCATGTCAGGGGAGAGACAGGCTTTGTGTGGCCTGCATCCCGCTGCTTAGTGGCCATGGATCACACATCCCTGTAAGCGTTCCTGGTCAGGTTCCGTGGGATCACATGCCCCTGGTGGAGGTCCAGCTGACCATAATGTGCATTCAAGAGGGGCAACACAGTAAGTACTGGTCCCCTGAGCATGTTTTAAGGAGTTAGGAGATCTAGATTTCTCGACACCCCCAAATGCCGCGCAAATAGAACCTCAGAGCTCATTCCCGAGGGCCCCTAAGGAGAATGTCCTGAAGCAACTTCTCTGTTCTTCATGGACAGCAGCACAATATCAGAGTTGCCAGTTCAGGGCTCCTGCAACCAGCTGTAGGACCTGAGGCAGAAGCCCCGGGCCCCAAGGTAGGTTGGGCTCCCAGAGGCTTCCATCTGGTGACGTCCATGAGCAGTGTGTGGGCACAGGGCATTGCCCGCGGCCGCGGGGAGAGCACGTACAGAGCACGAAGTCCCGTGAGGAGTGCGTGGGTGTGCGCCCCGAGGTCACCCCACCTTTCTCCCCGGATGTGTCTGAGAACCGCCCAGGGCTCGTGTGCTTGGGCACCCCCTGCTGGGCAGCGGCTTCCTCGCTCTGCTGGGGCCTGCCGGGTTTCTTTCTGCGGATTTTCCTCTTACTTTCATTATTCATCTTGTCTCTTATTCTGTGTTTGTCTTCTGTCTGTCTCCTTCACAGCCCTGTTGTTGAGTGAGCTTGGTAAGCATTTCATTTCTTGCATTTCCTTTCCATTTTCCTAGCTGGTCTCCCCATTTCTGTCGGGAGAGGCAGAAACTCTCAGACCTGCCTTGGTTTCCACTGATTTGCCGGCCGGGTGGCCTGCGGGCCAGTGGCCTCACTTTGGCTAAGGCCACGGAGCTTCTGTCCCAGACCATTGATTTCTTAAGTGTGCACGAGAGTTAAATCTGTGCACACCATCCCGTCACCTTAAAAGAACAGTATTGAGTCGTGCATGGCTGTTCTTCCATTTCTCATCGTTGAAAATAGAATCTGGGAGTCCTGCCACCCCGGGTTGGCTGTGGGGAGTCTGATGTCACTGCATTTGGTATTTAGAGTGAAAGATAAATCGATCGTAACATTTCTTTTCTCTCTCTCTCTCCTAGGTGGCTTCACACTAACAGGTATGAATTTTTAAAGCGTAACGTCATCCGAGTTTATTTTTCTCTCTCTGCTCCCCCTCTGTTCGTGACATTTTTAAAAACCTCTTTTTATTTTCATTTGCTTTGAATGAAGGAAAATACCTGTATGGTAAGACAGTTCGCTTTTCATGGTTCTTATTCCCCGACCCCAAACACCTTACAGTGCAACCCCACCCCATCACGCGGAGTGTCACCTGTACTGCATGAGTGTGGCATGGGGCGGGCCCCACTGACCCACACGGAGGCTTGCCACCGTGGCCCTGCCTGCGTTGTTCATGCCCCTTGTCGAGGGGGCTTCTCATTCTTTGCACTTTGGCACTTGTCCATAGATTAACGTTCACGCACTCCTGATTGTGGGTGGGGCACCCTTCCACATGTTCCAGAAAGTGCCAGAATGAACGAGACACTGCTGCTGGGCTCCTGAAAATGTGCCCGACCCCACTCAGGATGCACTGGGAGCTGATGCCCAGAGGAGAGCCGGCCCGTGCTTCCCCCACACCCCTGGGACTGGTCCCCACAGCTGGGCAGCGAATGCCTCAATCCCCCGTCCACGATGCAGCCCAGCCTCCGTGGCCAACAGCACAACCTGAAAGCCGTGTCCGTGAAGACTTTTCCCTCCAGCATCGCTTTTTGGGTCCCAGATACTCTCGCGGTTGCCTGCGCTGATCCGGAGAGGAGCTGAATGCCAAAAGGTGGTCACTGCGACGTGGCCTCGGCTGCAGGGAGGAAGCACCGTGGACATCGGCGGCCAAAGGGCAGCTGCTGAAAGAGGATCACTGAACACAGTTTGGAAGGGGAACGTTCTGGAAACGCCCCGACGGGAGTGGGGCTCCCAGCAACCCGTGTTCATCTCCGCTCCGCGAGCCCTTCCCCATCCGAGTGGCCCCTATGGGACTTCCTGAAGAGGCGCAAGACCTCTGGAGTCAGGACCTCCACACACAGCGTCCCTGAGCCCAGAACAGAAGGGTCCTCCTCCAGGGGTCCTCCAACCCCGTCCACCAAGTGCTAGCCAGCACCCGCTCCAGTCCCCACTCCGCTGCAGGGCAGTGTGGACCCCCAGACGGGTGCTGACCACGGTCATTCAGACTTGGCTCTTGCCCGTCACCAACCGCTGTTCCCACCCATTGGAGCCGTCCTGGCAAAGCTGTCTCTGTCACCTGATGAGCCGTGCAGGGAGACTTGGGGAGGCCTCTGGGCAATCACCCCTCTGCCTTCCCGGGTGGGATGCTTTGAAGCAGCCACTGTAGCTCTGGGGTTTCGAGGGTCAGCAGCGCAGGGCAGCCTCGCGGAGGCCGGACCCTCACCACCCCGTGCGTGGCTGGCTTCCTGTCCCTCTACCACGGATGATGCCAGGGTTGTGCTCAGAGGGACTTCCTTCACTTGAAGTATCTTTTAGTTTAGCTTCTAGGTAGCATCTCGGCTTTCTTTTCTCAGAAATGATTCACAGCAAGTTCTAGAACATTTGACCAGTAATAGCCCCTAGCACTGTGTTCCTGCCTGGAACACATCTCACTGCCAAGATGAAAGACTTGCTTCCTGCCGGGGTTTCCAGCATTTCATGTGCTCCATCATGTTCTTCCTGGCAGCTGACATCTAAATCGGAATGTTTGGAAATGGGAACCGTTAGAACAAGAGAATATTCCAGAACTCTCTGGAAATGTCTGCATTGGCCTGCTCCTCTGATCATCATGTTGCTTCTTCTCCAACCCCAAGATGTTGGGTTTTACTGCCACACTGCCTGTGAAGAAAGTTCTAAGACTTCGGTATTACAGCTGTGGTCCCAGAGAGCTTTCTGGAAGTCAGTGGAAGCCTTGGAATTCCAGATTTTGGCTGCCAGGGAAACAGAGTCCCTCCAGCTAGGGGGGCCGAGCGATAGTAGAGTGGGAAGGGTGTCACATGTGGTTGACTCGAGTTCGATCCCCGGCGGCCCCTCTTGTCCCCTGAACACCTCCAGGTGTAATTCCAGGAGGAAGCCTGAGCACAGCTGGGCATGGTCCAAAAATCGAATCTTAAAAATAGTTCCCCAAGCCCTTGGACATGTCACACAGTCATTTGCACTGCAGTGTAGCCCCTAAATTTGAAGGATATTTTAGAAATTCGAAAGGCGTTTGGCCCCGGCGTGTCTTCCAGAGATCTCCTGGGGGATGAACACGGCCCTGGGATGCTCCCGGAAGGGCAATTCCTCCCCCAGATCTCCAGACCTGCTTCGCGGGCGTCTCCCCGGGCCTCTGACACCAGCCCTGCAGACCGTCAGGCCTCCATGCACTGCTGGCACCTGAGGCGTCTCCCGGGCACTCTGAGGCCTGAAGCACCTCAACCGGCCCCAGAGTTGCCTGGCAGTCCCGGCAGAAGGGGGACTCCGGAGGCACTGACCGGACGCTCTGGTCCCATGACGGGGCTTTGCTCTCGTCCAGTGGCCAGAGAAGGACCATTCCTCACTGACACCCAGGAATCGGGCACCTGTGCCCAGATGTTACGTCCCTTGATCCCGCGCCCCACTGGCCATCGTCAGAGCAGCACCATCACCCCGTGAGACCACCAGGCCCAGAGAAGTGGCTGCCTGAGGCCGCCGTGTCAGACACCACGTGGGACGCCAAGTTGGACGCTGTGTTGACTGCATACGAGATGCCGTGATGATGCCACGTTGGACACCATGTCGGGTGCCATGTCAGATGCCATCTGGTCCCATCTGTACGCGGCGCTTCCTAGGCCTCCCGAGACCTCCCCCGCCAGCGCCTGTGGTGGGGAACCTGCCCTCCTCCCAGGACGGTCTCAGGCCTGGCATGGCGGCACGGCCGACGGCCCTTCTCCCGGCACCCGCACCCACTGCCCCCAACTAACCTGCCTGGTGTGCCCCCGCCTCCCCCCGACCAGCACGCGGCCCTCACCCGTCTCCCCCGTCCTCTCCCAGGCCAGCCCGTCCTCCGGAAAGTCCAGGCGCGCGAGTACCCGGGCCCCTCCACTGTAGTCTCCATCGCAGGTACTGGACCCAGGGCCTCCCCAGCTCCCATCCCTCCCGCCCAGGCCATGGGCAGCATCCAGAACATTCTGCAGGGGCTTCCCAGACAGGCCGTGAGGCGTGTGGGTCGCTCCTGCACAGCCGCCTCCCGGGGGGCACTGACACCCTCCCCGGTGTGGGGCCGTCTGGGCCCCCGCGACATCGCCTTCACGTGGAGCCCCAGTCCGGAAGGAAGGAAGGAAGGAAGGAAGGAAGGAAGGAAGGAAGGAAGGAAGGAAGGAAGGAAGAGTGGTGGGTGGGCAGCGAGCCGTGCCCGAGTGTGCAGATGGCCCCCTCGCTCAGGGACACAGCCCGGCGCTCCTCCCCGAGACGCCTATGTGGCCCTGGCTGCCAGGGTGCACCCCCCACTCCCCCCGTTCCGGGGACTTGCCCCCAAAAGCGGCAGGATCCCCGCGGACCCCACTCACGCCGCGGTTACCCCCACAGACGAGTATGACGACCGGCAGCCGCTGACCAGGAAGGAGGAGGAGGAGCGGCGGATCGCGGAGCTGGGCCGGCCCGTGCTGGGGGAGCACACTCGGCTGGAAGTCATCATCGAGGAGTCCTACGAGTTCAAGGTGCGCACGCCCGCCGGCCGGGCACAAGGGGGCGGCAGGGGACGCTGGAGGGACAGCAGGGCACCCCGGAAGGGACGGCAGGGGACGCCAGAGGGGGTGGCAGGGCACCCTGGAGAGGGCGGCAGGAGCCCCCATGCTAACAGGGCCCCCCTCCCCCCTGCAGGGCCTGAGTCGCCTCCCACTTGGCTCACCAGCTGGGGCCCCAACAGGACACGGGTGGGAGGGAAATTGCTCGGCCAAGAAAGTGCCATTTTCGAGACAAAAACACAGCTGACCCCACGTCTGGGACCCCACGTCTCAGCCCAGCTCTATGCTGGACGGTGGCCGGGGCCTGGGTCTCTGCAGACCCCCTTCCTCAGAGTCCCCGCTCGGTGGCTGTGACGCGGAGACGCCCGCACAGGGGGCTGAGCCCGGCCCCTCGACCTGCAGCCAGTGTAGAGGGGATGTCTGTCAGCAGCGGGGGCTTCCGGGAGGGACACAGCGTCCCACCAGCGAGCTCACTCCCTGGCCACCACCAGGGACCGCGCGCCTGGGGGTCCTCGTGACTCGGGTGTCTGGGGTGCCCAGCCTCCCTGAGTAGCAGCTGCGGGGGTGTGGCTGCCCCAGAGGGCTGGAAGCTTCCGTTTCCAAGTGCCCCACAGCCTCCTGGTCCCAGCGACCACAGGCTCTGAGTCTCTGGGGGTGCCGCACCCCGCCGAGCACAGCCCAGCACGCGCCTGTCGGGTGGGCCCAGGCACGGGCCGACCCCAGGCTCTCCCGAGTGATCCCCGAGCACAGCCGGGTGTGGCCCCCAAACAGACAAAAACTAAACTAAAACGGAGCTTGACCATTTTCTCAGAACTGCCCAGAGTGCGTTAGAGACTGGCTGGGGGCGGGGGGGGGGGGGGGGGTGCCTGCTGGGTTTGGTTTCTGTGTTGGCGCCCGGGCTGGGCTGGGCTTAGACAGCCCCCCGCCTGCCCCCACACGGAGCAGGAGCTGGAGACGCTGGACCGGGTGTCAGAGGTGACAGTGGGGGCTTGGGCCTGAGCCTCAGGGGCCACGCGGGTGCACCCCCTCCTCCTTCACTAAGCTCTTGGCCACCCCAGAATCCACCAGTCTCCCAGGCTGGCCACACACACACTGTCCTGCCGGGGGCTCAGAGCAAACTGTGTCCCCTGTCTCCCAGCTGTGGTGAGGCCGTCTCCCTGGCTCCCACCTGGGACCCCGAGAATCTGCCCTCATTCCCGTGACGGGGAGGACCTGCCCTGCATCCTGAGACGGGTACCCTAGAATCTCCCCTCATTCCCATGATGCTCGGAACCTGCCCAGCCTGTCCTCGGTGCACTTCTTTGGTAACTGGGAGTCGGCCGTGGCCAAGACCCAGAGGTGGAAGGCAGGGGACTGAGCGGGGGGGCAGTGCTTGTCCCACTCCTGGGCGGGGGCCAGACAGCAAACTGGGACCCTCCTCAGTGCCGCGGGCAGCTCTGGACAGGCTGGAGGCACAAGGCGTGAGCCCGCGAGAGCCAGCTACAGTGACACTCACTCCCCGGGGGCAGCTGTGGCCGTGGGGTCCGGGAGCTGCCTCCTAAATGAGGCACTTGGCTTCTGCCGGAGGCGTGGCCACCTGCTCACCCGCCCCCCCCCCTCCCCGTGGGCATCCACCCTGCTGGCTCCCGCGGCCTCCCCCTTCCTGGGAAGCGTGGGGAATGCATGGCCACTTGTAGACACCAGCCGCCTAATCACCCTTTCCCGCCCCTCTGTGGTTAGTGGGCGTTCGAGGAGGCGCTGACCATAAGTAGGGCGTGGAGCAGACTGGTCCGTGGCAGTGCCAGAGGCAGCCTGGCGTCCAGCAGCCCCTGTCCCCGGAGTGGACGCCAGCCCCTGTCTCGGTAGCATGTGGCCATATCAGCTGCAGGACACGCTTGGCTCCCGGGCGGCACAGGCCAACGTGGGCCAGGCCAGATGGGACACACTGAGCATAGCCACGCACTCAGGGGGTCCGAGGGAGCCTAGCGGCGCGGCCGGCTGGGGCTCGGGGTCCCACTGGCCTGCAGAGGCTTGGCTGAGCAAGCCGTAGCCAGGGTGACGCCCACGTGGCCACAGGCAGCAGCACCGGGGCCCGTTCAGTGCCACTAGGTCAGGCCCTGCCCGTGCAGGCTCTCAGGAGGGGTGTACGGAGCCGGGGTGCCTCTAGCTGCCCGCGGACACTGCGACGAGAGGCTGGGAAGCAAACTCAGGCTCCTCCGGGTGGAGCGTGTGGACAGCCCCGAGGCGTTGCTCCACGGGCCAGGCGGGGTTGGGCGCGCTGGCGGGGACCCTGGATCCGGCAAGCCGAGGCCTCACCCCCCCCTCCCGTCCCTAGAGCACCGTGGACAAGCTCATCAAGAAGACCAACCTCGCCCTGGTGGTGGGCACCAACAGCTGGCGGGAGCAGTTCATCGAGGCCATCACCGTGAGTGCCGGTGAGTAGCGGTGTGAGGGCTCTGGCCCCGGGGGCCCCCTCTCTCCTGTGGAGCCCCAGGAAGCCCCGGGGCCATGGAAGGAGGACTCAGAGTCCCGGACGGAGACTGTCCAGGCAAACGCCCTCCGCTCTGGACAGGGCCACGTGGCAGCTGGAGCCCTGGGGCATGGCAGGACTCAGCGTGGGTCAACGGGCGGTGAGCTGAGAATCGGGCTCGCAAAGGAGTGACCTCTGGTCCCTGGCTCAAGGCGCCCCCAGGCCTGGCCCTGCGTGGGAGACGGGAAAGCCACATCCCAGGCTCAAGTCTCTGAGCCGCTGCTGGGGCCACGAGGGCCATCAGGGAAATGCCCGAAACCTGCCCAGGGCTGCAAGGTGGTCACAGGGGATGGGGCTGGCCCTGGGGGTGGGAGCGCATGGTGACCGCCCCCGTCCGGGCCGCCTCACAGAGAAGGTCCTCAGTGGCCAGTGGACACGCTGGTTCCCCGCAGGCCGGCACCAGGCGGTATTTCTGACAGTGCGGCCCGGGCAGGCCCTGAGGAACAGCCCCCAGGCTCGAGTGTCCCTCTCCTGATGAGGGTCCACTCACCAAGGCCACATCCTGCTCTGGCCCCTGTGGGGACAGGCCCAGGGGCTGGACAGGGAGCTTCCCTCGGGGGCACCCTGTGGACCCCCTCTTCGGGCGGGAGCAGGCACCATGGGGTCAGGCATAGACCCAGGCCCGAGTCCCCCAGACATGTGGGGTCTGTGCTCCCCACCACACTCCTGGGGCAGTGCCCGATCCCAGCACCGTGTCCCAGGGGCCTCAGGGACATGCTCGGCTGCCACGGAGAGGCAGCCTGAGGCAGAGAAGGCAGGTGTGGGGCGGGGTGGGCGCACCTCCTCGAAGCAGAACAACCAGAAAGTGGAGGCTGGGCCCAGACACTCGGGCGCGAGGGCGGGTCACTTCCGGCCCATCCTGTGCAGATGCTGAGACGAGAGGGAAAGAGAGACAGAGAGACAGAGATACAGGGACAGAGAGATAAAGAGAGAGGAAGAGATAGATACAAGGACAGAGAGAGATACAGAGATAGAGATAGACAGAGACAGAGAGATACAGAGAGACTGAAAGAGATATAGAGAGAGAAAGAGAAAGACAGAGATACAGAGAGAGACCCAGAAAGAGATACAGAGAGATACAGGGACAGAGAGAGACAGAGATAAAGAGAGAAGAAAGAGATACAGGGACAGAGAGAGACACAGAGAAATAAAGAGAGATAGGAAGAGAGAGATACATGGAGAGAGATACAGAGATAGAGATAGAGACAGAGAGATACAGAGAGACAGAGACAGACAGACAGAGAGACAGAGAAAGACAGAGATACAGAGAGATATAGAGACAGACAGATCGAGACGTGCCTTCTCCCTTTGTGGCATGGCCTTGCGTGGCTTGGGGCCTCAGAGCCAGTGGGTGGAGTGTGGGTCCCCGAGGCCCCTGCAGACAGCCCGTGTGAGGGGACTTGCTCCCGCTCTGTCTGAGCCCTCGCTGGCCCTGGTCACTGCACTGCCCGTCCGTGGCTGTCGGGAACCTCCAAGCTGCTCCAGTTACTCTGCACCCGGCAGCTCATCAGATTTTTTTTTGCAGTTCTGAGAGGCTGCTGGGGCATAATTTGAAATTGCCGAGACATTTTCAGGCTGCCGAGTAAATTGACCTTATTTACAACTTAGAGCCAAAATATCAGAAAAGCAACCCCATATTTTGTAGGCACTGAATCACAGGAAGGCTGAGCAGTCCACGTTTGTCCCTAAATTACAGTGTCTAAAGAATGTTAATGCCCGAGGTTGCTGATGGACAGTGAAATTAGCAAGGCGCCTTTCTTGAAAACAGACTTCTGCTGGATCTGAAGGCTTCATATCTGCGTCACTGGGAATCAGAATGATTCGCCTTATTAAAAATACAAAACTGCTTTGAAATGGCTCTATTGAGAGGGATTTTTTCCTTTGCAATTTTCTGTGTGAGATTGAATCAATATATCTTGCTAAACAAAAATCATAATTTTGTAAGTAAGAATTTGCTTCTGCTTCCCTTGATCATGGTGAAGCAAGTTTCACTCGGCGCCCGGCTTTCCTGGGATGGCCCGTCCATCACCTCCAGGGACGGGCTCGTGTCCCACCAAGACCTTGATGTTTCTCTGAAGCCGATTCTCTGGGTCCAGCAGACACCTGCCCAGCGCAGCCCGGGGGGAGAGGGGCGCCCCGAATGCCCAGCAGAGCAGAGCAGGAGAGAAGGAGGTGTGGGGGTGCTCTGGGCCCCTCCCCAGAAAGTGACGCCAGGCCGGAGGGAGAAGGCTGCAGCTTCCCTGTGCAGTCTGGGCTCCCCGCTAAAGTGGGGGGCTCAGAGGTGGCAGAGGGGCCTTCCGGGGAAGCAAACCCCACTCTCACCAGGCCCCGAGACCTGTGGACCCAGGTCTGGGGAGCCACCTTGAAGGCGCTCTGCTTTGTGGAGATGCGGCTACGTATCTGCTGTACACGTGTTCTCTGTGTTGATCTGGTGTCCCTGACAGGTGCAGAATGGTCAAAACACAGGGTCAGGCACCGAGTCGCTCAGAAAACGGGTTAATCGCGGTGCTGGGTATACGTCTGCTGCTCAGTACAGAGATCGCACACATAGGCACAGGCACGTTGGAACAGGGCAAACACGGGCAAACACAGAGACACAGGCCTTGTCACACAGAGAGCACAGGCGGGCCACACGGAAGCATGCACATAGAAACACAGAGGACATAGGTGTGTGTGCACAGAAACACAGACAGAGAGCACAGGTGTGCACGCACAGGTACACAGACAGCAGAACACAGATGTACATGCAGATACGCAGAGAACACATATGGACACGCAGATACACGGACACAGAACACAGGTGTACATCTAGAGACACAGACACACAGAACACACGTGTACACACAGATACACAGACGCAGACACCACAGCTTGGCTCCAGGGGCTGATGGCCGTGCTGACCCCCACCCCTGCCCCCAGAGAAAGGCATCGGGTGTCCTGGCGTGGAGGTGGAGAGCGGGGCTGAGGGACGGGACTGCGAGCACCCAGGATCAGCCAGGAGCCCTTGGCTCTGCAGCCTGCCCCCGTGCCACGCACCGTGTGCTGAGCTGCGTGTCAGCAGGGAAGGGACATGAGTGGGGGCTGTGCACAGTCTTAGGGCCGCTGGGGAGGCCGGTGAGGTATTGGCACTCGGTTCCTTCCAGTGAGTGCACCGGCTGGGCCTGAAGGGGCAGGAGGAGCAGAGAGGATTCCAGCCGTGGAGAGGGCACAGTCCCTCCCCTCTCCCCACGGGGCCAGCGGGCCCTTCGCGGGAAGCGAGAGGCCTCCAGCCTCTGGGATCCCGAGATTCTCTATCCAGCTGCCTTGGGATCGCGCCTGGTCCCTGAGCCAATGTCTGTCCCTTCCTGCAGACACCTGGGTTTGCCCTGTGGCATCACTCGTCAGTCGGTGAGGTCTGTGCCATGCTCAGGACCACGGCAGCCCGAGCTAGCTGGAACAGAGAAGCACCCAAGGGACAGTGCTGCCTGGGCCACTCTGCACCGTCCCTCCACCGCTGGTCGGGGCAGCTCATGCCCACTGCAGTGGCCTTGGGCTGCAAGCTGGAGCCTCCTTGGAGACTGGCGTTCCCATGGCCAAGGAGCAATGGGCCACGGGGCTCTCAGTGTCCTCCGACCTCGCCTTTGAGGTTTCAGGGTCCCAGGAGGTCTCGCCTGTCTTTGCAGCAGGGACACCCCAAGGCGCCCTGCCAGCCACGCCACCCGCTACTGTCTCTGCAGTCGGGACTCTGACTCTGTCCCGACGGTCTTGGAGCTCCTCCACCCGCCACGCTGCTGGCAGACCGCGAGAGCCCAAGTTTCACGGACTGAATCCGGCAGCTGCTCTCCTGCCCTGCACGAAGCTCCTGACCTCAGCCAGAACCCCTGACCCCAACTGGGCCCCTGACCCCAGCCGGAGCCCTTCCGGAGTGGCTCTCACTGTACTAGAGCTTAATCAGCATCACCTACTGCACAGCAGACATCTATCAGCATTCTTTTCTCTTTCCTTCAGTTCGAGTTATCACCCACAGTGTCTCTAGATTTAAAGCAAAGATGATGGATCCCTCTATTATTTAAAAGGTAAAGGTAAAAAGGTAAAGGCCCTCCCGTTGATCGTCGATTTGCTCGAGCGGGCCCAGTAACGTCTCCATTGGAGACTTTGTTGTTACTGTGTCTGGCATATCGAATACTCTCGGTAGCTTGCCGGGCTCTCCGAGAGGGGCAGAGGAATCGAACTCGGGCCGGCCATGTTGGCCGCTTGTAAGGCGAATGCCCTACCCGCTGTGCTATCGCTCCAGCCCATTATTTAAAAGACGTTTTGTTTTTTTTTCTAGCAAATTAAATTTTAGCATCTCTGTCATTAACAAAAGATCGGTCCATGATTCAGTGATTTTTTTTTGTTTCTGTTTTCTTTGGCCACCAAAATCTTTCTTGCCTCCGTGTTCAACATTCATTCAGGTCAGGTTTCTGAAGACATTATTTCTGTTTTCTCGGACATTTTCTGTCCTAGTTTATCGTAAAGTCTCTTACATCCTATAAATAGGCATAGATCTGCTCCAATCCTCTTAGAAGCAGGAAGCGTCTAAAGTGAAACCGTCGTTTTGGAAGCAACGGCAAATCTCCTTTTTTTTTTTTTTCACGATGAACTCACTGAAGGATATATATGAATTTATATACGGATCTCTGTCTTCCCAGCCTCGTGTAACTGGAAGGCTATTTACACTTAGTACTGACGTTCCTGACCCAGAGGAAAACCCATGTAAAGACCCACGTACACATATGTAGGCCATGCTTCACTGTTCAGACACGTGGAATGCACAGAATTCATACAAGGCTTACAGAATCACAGCTGCGTACACCCGTGCACATGAAATATATCTTCTGCACTGCACATGAACATACTGGGCCAGAGTTTCCTTGGGGCCAGAGA